GTGCGCTGTCTTCCCATTCCTCGGCAGCACTTCTGCGATCACTTCTTGTGTCTCCATTTGTATGGTTTGAGTGAATATTGCGATTAACACTCGCCAGTTGTGCCCCAACGCTATGTTCAGCAGCGCTGATCACTGCTGTGATTTCACAGTCCTCCTCGTCATCGCCCACCACTTCGTCCTCCACTTCTGCCGCAGAGTCGTTGTCCACCGATATATCAAATGACGATCCGTTCACCTCTTCATCAGAGACGTCATCCAATGATATATCGTTGGCTCCACTGCTGGGCTCGTCCTCTGAATCTGATGACAGTTCCACCACTTCTGGCTCTACAACAATGGATCCATTCGTCTCATGGGTTTCATTATGTATTGCATTCAATAAACTTGGAGTCAATTTGGAGTCAATGCTGTCATCATTGGTTTGATTATCGTCATCATCAGTGGTTTCGTTGGTTTCATTGGTATGATTGGCACTATCATTGGTGTGATCAACAGTCACAACATTTGCTCTCGTTGTGGATGTTGTGGAAGCGTTGGCTCTAATGGCCCTATCATTGGGTCTGCGAGGGACGGGATGAGTTGGTCTCCTGAAGACATGGCACTGTGATTGCCATTCATCCGACAGAGTAGTCCGGGTGACTGAGTGCCGGCAATAGACACCGCCATATGTCTGCTGGACATTGATAAGACCCGCCTCTTCTATGGAGATGTTTGTCTGATCCGTGAACTCAATGGTCGGCACGTCTTCATAGAACTCAATCCTATCGATGGGTCTCAAGAAGACGGGAACTATTCGTCGGATTTTATCACTGAATCTGTAAGTGGTTTGCTTGTAGACCGTATAGACGGGCAATCGGTTCCGCACCACATTACCACTCATTATCAGCTGCAATAGTTGTCTCATCAGTACTCGAGGAATATCTTTACGGCATATTTGGTCTGCAAAACGGATCAATTGAGATGTCATTTGCAAATTGCAGTCAATTTGTCGGTCAATACATACCATGCGGTGAATGGACGGGCGCGTGAAGGCTCACCACTCATTGGCCACCGATGAATGTCTTGAGATATCACCGAATCGGTGGTTAATAAGCAAATGAATGCATAAACGATGAAATTGTTTGAAAAATATATTTATTTTTCAAAACAAATCTATTTTTGATATAAACTGTAAATACGCTAAAACTGCAGCAAATGATTGTTTGGTTGCAATTAAAACAGCATTAACTCTACTAATTAAGTGAACACGAGTTAAGCCCTTTTTTCAATATTGTAAGCCTTTTAATGTTTAAAAGGCTACTCAAAAGCTCTCGCATGACATCTATTGAATGAATAATGATATGGCATTTGGCCTTAAGGTAAGAGGTTATCGAGTTTGACACGCAAATAGGTCCCTGATCACACTATTACATATTTATGGTATATCACTCGTGGCCATTGCTAGTTAATATTCTGTTCAAATATGTGCGGGATTATTTATTAATATTTCATACTAATATTTTAATGTACAAATCCCTTAATGGAAACAAAACTTTTTAAAACCCCTTTTGCACAGATCCCAGGCCATCAACTTTTGATAACTTTTGACATTTTCTCATTTACATAGTATTATATACTACAGTGAATATTTAGTTTATTATTTATTATAATAGCGTATCATTTATAGAAAAGTTTTGAATTAATGTGTATTTCAATTATAAATACTATTATGTTTAGTCTGCTGTATAATAGGGAGTCATATAATTATATAATTTTGGGGAAAATGTAATTTTAGAAACAACTTTCGAAATTGAATTTCTGTTTGTCTAAAATTGTAGTTAAAATTTTTGAATATTTGATTTCAATCTCAAATACCCAATGATTTCGATGACATTATATATAAACTAAATATTTATATGCATCGGAGAGATGTCTGCGAAATGCCATTGGATTTAATGGTTGTGTCACTCAATTGATTAATTATCTGTGATATGAATATCTATGCGTTTGGCCCGGCGTTGGATGTAATGCCAAATAAACTTAGTTTTTTCGCGTAAATAATATTCATATTTTATGCAAAACTTTTTTTTTTGTTTTCTCATATTTTGTTGTAGGCTTTTAGAGCTAATTTTAAATTCAGTTTGAAATGCCATTCAAAAAGCAAAAAAATGAAAGCAAATTTTTTAGTCATATTTTAGTTTTTGATATACATTTAGATATAAGGAAATAATAAATGTAATCGTTGGAAACAATTTCCAAAATTAATTTTGAATTTTATGAGCAAAAAATATTGTATCTAGGATTGATTCATTAGTATTTAATATTAAAAAATTCATTAATTGTATTAAAACTTTTGTTTTTAAATTTATTTTTTAATTATGAAGATTAAATCTATAACTAATTGCTT